AAACGACCGAAAAAGATCAAGGCCTGAACTCGCAGACCTGCAGCTCAGAGGAGAAAGAGGACTAAAAGGCCAGACTAAAGTCAGCTTTAGTGTTTCAACAGCTTTCTACTTGATCATCAGAACAAGTAAAACCGCTAAGCCTGTGTTGTCTCAACAGCAGCTAACCCTAACAACATTCAACAATAAATCACACAACAACTGATTCTGTCTGTGGCAGATTGGAGACCAGTGAAGGAAGATTTAAAGACATATTGAGAAAACTTCCCCACACTGATTAATTAAAGATTTTTTTTAATCCTATTTTTGAAGTTTTGAAATTGTTTGATGACCTGCAGTGTTTATGCAGAAAACACAAATTGGCTCTAAGCCCTTGGAGACAAACTACGGGTGTTTCATTTTACAGCAGGAGACATTTCAGCAGCAGTCAAAGGTTGTAATTGAAAATACCAGCTGTGACTGATTCAGTGTGAAACCTACAGAGTTGAAAAATGAAGCCAAAAAGCTGCAGTCACTCATGTGCCCACTAGAGTCTGGCTCCTAAATTGAATCAGTCCCTGTAGACTTCCATGTTAACATGTCCAGCTGTACAACAGAAATAAACATGTTTACAGCCTGCTTCAAGTCTCTACAGTTAACTACTTCATATTTCTCATAATACACGAAGAGGAGGTGAACTTCTTATAAAGTTATGCATTATTAAGGTACTTTGATTGACAGAGCTGTCTCTGCTAGGCTTCAGAATCTGAATCACTGAACGGTTGACTGTAACTGGTGCCTTTTGGAAAATCTTTAGTTTGCTGTGTGATACCGTCCAAGAAGTTTGTGCTGCATATTTGCTGAAAAAAATCCTAGTATTATATTTGTATATTATTTACTTATTAACTTGCTGTGGCCTTAGTCATACAAACATACAGACCAATCAGTGAACCCCTGGTAAACACCATACATGAGGTAGAAATATGCATTTGTAACATGAGCTGGTGAGGGTGGAGAAGCTAGCAATGTTAGCTATTAGCACTAGCAATTACCAGATTAGCTTAGAGAGACACATAGCACATTTATTTGGCAGAACTTAACAAAGACTTTACGGTACCAGGTCTTCATTGCACTATATTAACTTTTCACACATGACAGTAAGGTGTAGATAACAGCCTGCACCAACTTTTTACAAAATAGAGCCAGAGAAGTACACACTTGCACCACCTTGCAGTCTCATTCATTACTGCATCCATATTCATATCCATAGAGTCCAGCTGTTACATATTCTCCGACCACTTGTAAGTGGTAGTTGGAGGCTGGTGAAATTTGCTGGGTGCAATTGGTTGCAAAAAGTGATAACTTTCTTGTGATTGTTTGGTTGCTAGCATGTTTCTGCAGTGGCCCATTGTTTGTTTTTTTGGGAACAGTCAGAAAACTCCAGCAACCACTCGCCAACCGGTTGGTGAATACACATTTTTCCCCAACAACCAGTGGCCAACCATGGCTATAATGCTCAAGTCAAGGAATTAATAGAGTTTACAAACCAATGCTTTCTATGCAAACATTTAATATTGATCTAAACAGGCAGATATATAAATTTTTTCTGCAAAGCTGCCTCAATTTTAAACTGAAAATTTAAAAAATGTATAATTTGATTGGGAGTGCTTAATATGGCTTTTACAGCCTTGTATTTGTATAGCTTTTTCCCATATAATTGTTTGTTGTTGTTGTTGTTTTTTAAGAATCAGAATCAGAATCAGAATACTTTATTCATCCCGAAGGAACTCTTAAGAACTCTAATCCTTGGTGATTTGCAGTAACTCAACTACATGCTGTAATTCAAGCGCATGTTTAGACAAACGGTTTGAACCGTCAACAAAAATCTGACAACACAACATTGGCAATGCTTTAAATACATAAAATAATCCCACCCGTGCACATTCAGCACCATTTTTAAGCATGTTAACGTTGGCGTTCAAAGCTTTCGCATGCAAAGCAAAAATGTGACGGCCATCCATTTTGGACGGCGAGGGTGGAAGTGTGGAGGATTATCAGCATGCACAGATAAAACATGAAATCCCCTTGATGGCCCACCAACAGAAACATGCAGAAAAGGAAGCAGGAAAACAAGACAGATAAATACAAACCGGGCTGGAAACTCTTTGCTCTGTCAGCAGTTTGAACGGAGACATGACAGAATCCCATTTGACTGAGCATAGAAGAGGGAGATTTGTGAAGTAGAAAAAGCAATGAATGAGTAGAGGGGAATAAAGATGGCCATTCCAAACACTGACTTTAAGGCTCATTAGAATTTTACAAACTCTGTTTTTCCTTATATACTGCATGCTGTGTTTGCACTAGTAAAACATGAATAAATGAGGACTGGATTAAGCCTTTCGCGCAGCGCTGTATTTTATCATAAAGTTTGAAAGTTAGTTGCGAAGTCCTGTTATTAAGCCTCAGCTGAATTGTTTTGCCTCTGCTCTCTTAGTATTTTGATGAGCGCTGATCCGACTGAGAAACAGAGGGACACTGCACAGTAAAAACCAATGTCCGATGCTGACCCACACATCAACCCCAACCTCCTCCCTGTGCTGATTTTGGAGCTCTTAACTGTCCTTTTCACCTTTTCTCCTGTTATAATTACTACTGACACTTGAGGACGATCATTTAAACATAAATATTAAGAACTACAGTTTTTTTTAAGTAAGTGCAGTTTTTAGCAAGGAGGACTAAATGTGCAAACTAGTTGTCCTGTTTGTGTAGTTCTTTTAGCAATATGAGAACTTCTGTTAACTTCTTCATTAAGAGAAGCTCCATGAGCTCCATGAGAATAAAATGCATCATCATCCATTGCTCACATGTGTTGTTATAGGCTTGTTTTTAAATCCTCGGAGATCCAGTCAAAGCTTAAAATATCTGTTTGCGTATACGGGCACTGGATTCCCATGCCTGCCTGCGACTTGAAACAGTGACCTTTTGCCTCCCAGTTCTCCTCTTAGCTCAGATACAGCATGTCTGATACTCAGATAAACCACTGAATACATTCTTCTTCCTCCAGACAGTTTAACCAAAGTCGAGAGATAACAACCATCTCATTTCAGGAGCAGTGTGTGTGTTGCAATTACACTGAGTTACATGAGTGACATAAACCATAATAATAAGACGGGAAGCCATTTGGCTGTAAACACAATGACTGGAGGAAGGTATATTTGGCACTAGACAGAAAGCGAGTCAACAAAAAGAAGGAAAACAAGCACTTTGATTGTGCTCTATCCTTGGACATGGCATTTCAGCCTGCTTTTAGAGCTTCCTATTCATAATCCCTAAACATAAAATGCCACAAGTTAAATGGAGGAAGCAAAACCCATACAGTACACAATATTTTGTTTTTTAAACATGGCAGCTTAAGGTAACAATTTATTTCTCAGTTTATGGGCCTTAATTATAGAGTGGGGTAATCTAGCTGACTTGGCAAACCTTCAGCTATTAACAATATTCATATAGTGTAAATTAATTGGTGCAACAACCTCTAAACACATGGCCTCAGTCTTTTCAATTAACAATATAGCACTTTAATCGATAGACCAATTCATTTTTGTTGAGTTGCATGCCATAGCAGCATGTACTACAATAAAACAGATTATATATACTGTTGCTACTGTGTAGCAGAACAGCATATATTCACCAACTATTTCATTAGGTACACCTTGCCAATACTGAGTTGGACCTGCTTTTGTCCCCAGAACTGTTTAATTCTTCATGGCATAGATTCCTCTAAGAGTTTGGTCCATATTGGCATGACAGCATCACACAGTTGCTACAGATTGTTGGCTGAACATCCCAGAGGTGCTCTACTGGACTGAGATCTGGTGACTGTGGATGCCATTTGAGTGCAGAGAACTCACTGTCAAGCTCAAGAAACCAGAGTGAGATGATCTGAGCTTTGTGACACGGTTTGTTATCCTGCTGGACGCAGCCAAAGAAGGTGGTACACTGTGGTCATAGAGGGATGGTCGTGGTCAGCAACAATACTCAGGCTGTGGTGTTTAAAGCTGTTGAATTGTTGGTGTTGACTTCAATTCTGCCTTTGATCCTGGATAAACTAGCACTGAAGCTCCTGGGACACCTGGAACTGTCCACGTCACTGCACTCTTATGACTGTCTAATGACAGTACAGAATTTTTAAATATACTGATACTGAGGAGGCCAAAATATGCCAAGAAAATATCTCTCAGTCCATTACACCATCACCACCAGACTAAACATAATACATGTTTTCATGTTGTTTACACCAAATTCTGACCCTGCCATCTGAATGCTGCAGCAGAAATCGAGACTCATCAGACAAACAACGTTTTTACAATCTTGTCCAGTTTTGGTGAATTTAAGTTTTCTGTTCTTAGCTGACAGGAGTGGCAGTGTGCACTTTTACTGCTGTTGAGATGGTCTCCTGCAAACCTTGGTTGTAACAAGTGTTTATTTTAGTTACTGTTGCCTTCCTAACATCTCAAAGCAACCTGGCCATTCTCCTCTGAATCAACAGCACATTTACACCCAGAGAACTACTGTTCACTGGACTTTTTCTCTCTGTTTTGGACCATTCTGTGTAAATTCTTTAGGCGATTGTGTGGGGAAATCACAGTAGATCAGCAGTTGCTAAATACATGCAAGTTTACCTACTGAAGTGGCCAATGAGTGTTGTTTTTGTTGACTTTATAGTTTATTTATATTTTTAAATTAACACACCATTAGCATTGTTAGTAGTAAAAAGGTAAAAACCTTGAAACAATATCAGGCTGCTCAAAAAGAGAGCAACTACCTAAATCTGAGTTTAAATCAGGAAGCACAACAGCAGTAAAACGTGCAAAGGCCGTGAAGTTTTACTGCAGATATACAGCCTTTAAATTATATTTTTTAGCTGGGAGCTGCTGGGATTTTCCCACCCTGATTAAAACTTTGGAAACCAAACACAAGTCAAACAACACACAAGTTGAATTACAAAGAGTTTAATCCCAAAAATACTTTTTCCTTTTTTCCTGTTTTGGCTTGTAATACATAGTTTGGTCTTGCTGTATCGTGGCTGTAACACTATAGTACTGTATCATTTACATTGTCTGAAGTAGTGGCTGTCATGCAATGTTGGACACAGCACGACTTAGCAGAAAGATGCCACGTTCACATCAGAAATCCTGACTGTAAAAAAAAAAGAAATCAAGAAAGAAAACAAGGTAACATTCATGTCTTCCCACTTGAGCTACAGGTATGACAACAGTCACCTCTACAGTGTGACTAAGGTTCGACAGTTTGTTTACTTTGTAGACATCAAGCTGCAGCACAATAATACTGCTTCATCTCTTCTTGTCTTTCATTGTGAATGTGGCATCAGAGAACAGTCTGTACAAGACATTCAACAGTCTTGTCATTTAAGACCAAATGCTAATGTCAGTGACTTTTTATGGGCACCTCAGCAAGTTGGCTGTCAGGTATGTGAAACATGTTGATGTTAAGTTTTATGGTTATTTGTCACTCTGTAAAATATTTTATGAGCAGCTGAACAGGTTCCAGCCTGTTGGTTTGTTTCACTTCTTCACTGTGACAGGAAGACACTCGGCTTCTCGACTGTCCACCCATTGTGACCTCAGGGAATTTTGACAAAGCTGCTAGCATCACACAGGTTGTCCTCTGCTGTGTGCTGGACGGCAAAAGCCAACAGTGCTGTTCAACACAGCTTTATCAAACTTTGTGGTTTTTTGTTAGTTTGTCTTTTTATCATTTCCTGTTTTTTTAATTTTATTTTACATGGCATTTGGTGACTAAAAATAATATTGATTTGGGATAAAATATCACATCTCAATTAGGGCTGTTTGACTACGGGGGAAAAACAATTCCAGATCAGCAGAGCTGAGTTGACATTTTGAATTAGCTCAAAATGTCAAGTTATTTTCTCAGTTTTGAGTTATTTTGAGTTTTAGTTTTGAGTTATTATATTTGAGTTAAAATTTTGACTTTGTATGGCTGTTATTAGTATCGCTGTTATTTAAAACAACAACATTGGGACTTTTAAAACATTCTGCGCTTGAGGAACAAAAATTGTATTTGTTTTTTCCAAACAGCTGACTAAAAATATCCATTCCTGTGATATCAATGCCAAATTGTGGCATCTCCAAAATACCAGCAGCTTTGACAAGATGTAGATTTTTGGCACCTTGGGGATGAAAACAGGCTCTGAACACGTGTCCTTTCACTGCCAGGAGGTTGAATCAGTCTGGGATGCACTCATAACACTTCTCAAGCACTCTGAGGGGCAGCTGGTTTGCTTTAGAGCAACTACAGCAACTAAAAATGACTCTATATGCTGATGACTATGTCATGTTTTGGTGTAAGATTTCTGATGGGGGTTTGATTAATTGGTTGTGTAATGTCCCTTCCATTCAGCATTATTAGCTATAACTAAATTTAAGTTTGAGAATTTAAGAGAGAATTTTGTGTGAAAAGTAAGAGTAGATGGACACACAAATAATATAATCAGTGTTTGCTGTATTTACCAGCCAACACTACCAACAGTTATATTAATCTGAAATGTCCAGTTTTTATTAGGTAAAATTAATCTTGAACTTTAGCAAATATTACATAAAATGGCTTAAATGGACCCACAGTGTCCATGTGCAACTCTTGTACCATCAAGCCGTATTATTCTTGCGGCAATATTGCATTAAATACATAAAACAGTTGCATATATAGCTGAAAAAAGTTGAACTGTTAAAAATAGGGAAAAAACAGATGCAGCATTAGTAAAATTCTCCAAAACAGATCAAATCAGCTTGTCACAGAGCAGAAGGCCTTCAATTTGACTTCCAGAGGAGGGATAATCAAAGGTGGTTCCACTGAGGAAGACACAGAAAACGAGCAAGATGAGGGATGAGGAAGAACTGATTTCATATAGCTCAAATGGATTCTATATAACATAGTTTATTTAATTATTTTCCTCCTAAGCCAGTCATACCAGGTATATATATATCTCAGTTTGGCAGGAAAGGCTGTAAAAAACAACAACAACAAAAAACCCACCAAAGCAGAGTTTCTGTATCATCTCTTGGGAATCATCTTTGGTGTAACACCACCTCGCAGCTCTAAACACTGATCTGTGCATGAGTGCATCCCTAATCACATTTACAGCAGCCTTCTCACATCTGTGCACAGCACAGCAACAGGGAGCTCTGCCAGTGGATCAATACACTTTATAAAACATCTCCGCTACAATACACACATCCCCAATGAAACAGTCCTATTAATACTCCTCCATCAGGGAGAGTGCAGCGAGAGCCACAGTGTGCACACACACAACTGCCTGTGAAGAACATTAAAACAGTCATCTACCAAGGTAAACAATCAATATTCTTCCCATGAATCTGACTTTAATATGACTTTTTTTTTTTGTAAAATTTATACTATTCATGATTATACTATATAGATTTCATCTGCAAATACGCATTCCTACAGGAAAGTATGGATGCTAATGAGTTTATATGATATGCATTTCCAGCTCATTTTGCATCTCTATGAGTATATTTTCCTCCTATATGGAGACTTGCAGTGTTTCTGTGGTGTTTTTTCTTCTTTCTTTTTTTGTTTAATCCATCCTGTTTCTATAGATGGGATGCGTCATAGTTTATTAGCCATCATCCAGCCAAAGCCTGGTATCACTGCTTCTTTTTCTTCTGCTTCAGTGACTTCCTCCTCTTCACGATCATCTCATACAGCTTGTCCATGCCCTCGTCCAGTCCCTCTCCGATGATGGCGCAGGCCGGCTGGACGTGGTACGGTGTTGAGGGGCTCAGCTCCGCCAGAGCGAGCTGCCTCTCGATCTCCCCGACGTCCAGAGCCCGGGGCAGGTCCTGCTTGTTGGCGATGACCAGCAGCGGGGTCCCCTGGTTCTCGGCGAACCGGGTGATCTTGTGCAGCTCGGTGCGAGCCTCCTCCAGCCTCTCGGTGTCCACAGAGTCTACCACGTACACGATGCCGTCCGTGCAGCGGCTGTAAGGCTTCCACAGGGGCCGCAGCTTCTCCTGGCCCCCGACGTCCCAAAAGTGACAGCTGATGCCCCTAGAGGCCCCCGCGCCGCCCAGCCGGATCCTCTCCGTGTTGAAGCCGATGGTGGGCACCGTGTTGACGAACTCGTTGAATTTGAGCCGGTAGAGGACGGTGGTTTTGCCCGCAGAGTCCAAGCCGAGCATGACTATGTGCAGGGACTGGAAGGCAGCCAGATTGGAGAAACTATTCCCCATGTCTGCAGGCTGGGGAGGAGAGACAGCGTGCACTCCCACAGCCCCACAGCAGCCAGCGAGATCACCGCAGGGGACGCTTAAAGGTCCCGGGAGTGAGCCATCGTGGGTTATTAAAACGCGTAAAAATTACAACGGCTTCTCTTCTCTCAGCAGAAGTTGGGGGCACAGCCCCTCGTTGCGCGGCGGCACTCCGGCAGCAAGAAACGCCGCAGCATCCCTGGACTCACTCCAACTGCATCTGCCCTCCACAAATTGTCAAATCACAGCACGTACAGCGGCTGCATGCACTCTCGCGCACCACACTCGTCTCCGCATCTGGCCGCTTGTCTCCGAGCAGCTGCCTTCATGTAGTGGCACACAACACACGCACGAAGTGATGGAGCGTGACGCGTGGATCAGCCACTGAACGCTGCCATGGAGAGACGCGTCAAGTCAGACAGGAAAAACACATTAAAATCTGGCTTCCGGTTACGCGAAAGGGCTTTAAAAAATAAAAGCCTTTCACATTCGTGAGAGCAAACCTGCCAGCGGGGTGGATAAAGGATCTTACTATGAAAGGTGTTCAGTCGCCTTTCCTCTGCGCAGGGAGGCGTCCTCAGCTGTGAGACTCTGACACCTGGTGGTAAAAATGCGCAACTACAAGCAGCTGTGACTTCATGAGTGCAAATATAAAGATACACTAATTGTAAGATAGTATATATTAATATAAACATATATCAAAAATGGTTTCCTCCAGCCTGCAGTCAGCTTGTAATTTAAGTGACTGCCACTGGCGCCATAAAACAAAAGAAAGAAGAAGGCAAATAAAGCCTGGGATTAGATGGAAAGGATGGACAGTGAGTCAATATCGACCAAATATTACCCAGCACAGCTTGAAGTCATCAAACATGGCCATTAAATTTGGAAACATCTAGAATGAAGCATCAGCAGGCCCCAACAGACGGACTCAAAGAGAAGCAGCTAAAAGTTATTCCAAGCAGTCAGTAATTAGTTTCAACCAAAAGCAACACTCACATGGAGCAGGATTCATCTTCACTGTGTGTTTGAGCAGTGGTTCCAAACAGGTGTTCAACTCATTTCTTTATATGTTTCTAGGAAAACGGGAAATAGGTGGAGCGACTTATTGAAAAATGTGCAAATATACATGGAAACACAGCATACTAGGCAATTCTAACATGTTTGAAAGCCAATATTTGGTATGGTCAAAGGAGCTTGCAAAGAAAAACGTCTGGACTTCTTTAAATTGCTTGAAGACGTTTCACCTCTCATCTGAGAAGCTTCTTCAGTTCTGACTACAATGACCTGGATGACTGAGAACCTTCACAGAAATATTTGGTATGATCACCTTTAGTCTCCCACTAGATGTAGATGACCAACTTCTTTAGTACATTAGCAAGGAAAGCTGCGTCGATGATGGAGCGGGGATGTCAGTGCTAACCATCTAATAAAACAGTCACGCTGACCAGATGACGGCTCAGCAGCAATTTCAGATTAGCATCTGTGACAATGACTGAATGTAATATGTTCAGCCAGCTGTTTTGCTTTAAAAAAAAATCAAGAAGCAGGCCTGTTTTCTTTAAAAATTCAGAGATACGTGGTCCTCACAGGACAGCCCCTACAAATGTAAGTAACGGAATATAGAGTACTTAAAACGAGATCCACCTTTAACATATGCAGCAGTTAAACACCTGCAGCAAATGTTTTCTCAAAATCCTGGACTCCGTTTTGTACTCACCTTGAGAAAGCTCACGTTGTATAAACATGTACCATGGCACTGCAATTTCCCTGTTTATTACATATTCATGACATTTAATTCATTATGGATACTGGTAGTTTCTAATTTTAATG